ATTTATAAGGTCACTGGTCAAAGTCAAATTTTTTCAAATTTTTACGAAAAAGAAAATACATTTTTTCAAACGCTGATAGTGACCCCTATTTTTTAATTTTGCTATTTTCCAGGATGTCTTCTGCCAAATTAATATGTCGTCTTTCCAGCTCATCTCATTGCGCAATTTCATTTGCTTATTTATTCACCACTATTTTATTTATCCACCAATTTTCTTCGTTAGGAGCTTGATTTTTTCTTAAAAAAAACGAAGAAATTGACAAAAAAAACTTCCCCTGTTAATGGTTGAATTTTTTTCATAAAACTTCCGCACTAAATACTTTAACATTTTGACATGGTATGGATAGGGATGCAAACGATATATCGACCGACAAAATTTTATCGGACACCACCTTTAGAGTTCTGCCACCTTGAGAGTTTTTCATGTAGGATTTCTTTAACGTATAAAAGTCTATAACGAAGGAGCGCCCCCCTCTGGACGGGACTGGATATAAGCGTGCAGTTTTTACCAAAAATGGAAGCTTGCCAGCACACCCACGACAAATGTAAACGTATTCTAGCGTACATACCTAATTATCTATATATATATGTATGTATGTATGTACACATGGTAAAAATTCAGACAAGAGACAGTCACGTAAACACATATGTACATATGTATGTTTGTACACAGCTATTTACTGTAGCTGAAATTATAGTGTGCATTTTTGCAGATGAGCAGATAGTAGGTACATATGCACGCATGTACATATATACATATTTATTATTCACTTACCTAGGAGAAGAACGCATATTTTAGGAATAACGAGTATTTGTGCTAATAAGTGGGTTAATGTGAAATTGAAATTTATTAATTTATATTATTTAAAAATTTAAATGGTTAAGCGAACTTAAAAAAATTGAATTCATATTAGCTTTTGTATACATCTGCATCTTGTTTATTATTTTTCACAAATCTAGTTATGTGATGGTGCGACGCTGATGAACCGACCTTATGAAACACCATGATAGAAGGTACACGTGCTGTTACAAGAACAATTAACCTTATTCATGGTTTTGTTACGACTGTGCCGTCTTCGAATATTTAGATTTATTTAACCTTAAAAAGCCCAATTTTATGACTAACACATTTTCACATTTTTCCTGGAGAATTGAAGAAACCAAATTTTTCTGGTAGTCTGAATTGTATATGGAAAAGTAATTTCTCAGTAGCTCGTTTCTGTAACTTTTCTCAACCGATTATTTCTCTACTAGTAGAGAATATACGTCATTCTCTACTACTCATTAGCAGTAGAGAACAGGGCGGCGAATTCATATCTCAATTCGCCTTGGTAGAGAATTGTTACAGAAACGAGCTACAGTTTTCCCAGGCCGGCGATTGTAAGCGTTTTTTTTTTTGCAATATAAATTTGGTGTGGTAATGATTACTAATCGCATATGAAATTTAACAGCTCTGGTACATATCCTGGTATGTATGAATGTAAATAGGTGCGTCTGAAAAATTATGTCAATCCTATTCTAGCAAATTTCTTTTCGTTTAATAAAATAAAGGTAAGCCGTTATAGAATTGTTTGACATTTTTAAGTTTCAAAATTTTTAGAAAATCGCGTCAGCATTTTTGCAAGCTTTTTATGCATGAAGCACATTATCTCAATAATTTCTCAATAATTTCGTAATCTTGATTTTAGCTTGCTTTTTGTGGAGATAAACAAATTTGAAGCAAATAATTGATAAAAAAGCTCGCAAAAATTGTACACATTTTGAATAATCCTCTAGAACCTAAGTATGTACATACTTTCGCTTTTATATGCACATATTTATTGATGAAAGTTTTTACGTAGGGGCTTTATAACGTCAATGAAATCAAGTCATATGAATGTACGTAATATCCCATTTCTTACAGTGTAGCATGTATATATTTGATAATCTGTTTGTAAATTTATTAAAATTTATTTTAAATACGTTAATTATTGTGACGCATGAGTAACTACTTTCCCATCGAAAGCACACTTCTTTACATATGTACATACATACATATCTACATATATACATACGTGCATACACTTCAGTTCACTGCGCCAGAATTCACAAAAAAAATCACTTTATCGCGCAATTAAGTATCTGTGCTTTTTTTTCTTAAATGAGAAACGCAAACACTTCACATAATAAAACAAAAACAAAATATATAGTCAAGTTAACTACTTTTTGACAACCACAATTAAAACCAAGAAGATCACTCTTCAAATGCATGTTACTGCATATCTATTACGTAGGTACTATTCCCAAAAGTAACATGTGACCTTTGCGCCCCCATCGTCATCCAGACAAATTAGTCATTAATTTTATTTCATTCGAATAAAAAGCACTTGTTACACAATTCAGTAAGTTTCCATTCTACTGCATGCATACATACATACATGCAGACATATGTATGTAGATATGTACATATTTCGCAGATCTTAACGCACTTTTTCACAAACACACGACATTTCCGTGCGTATAGCAGTGCAATCTGAACATGCAGTTACGAAATGCCTTCTTCGACCAACAGCACCTCCCAACAAAAAAGCTTAACCAAATCTGTATGTATTATTATTTTCACTATCTTTTGTTTTTTTTTTTCTTTTTTAGATAAAACACAAATTTTATGTGTTTTCCTCAATAAATTAGAACTCAAAGCCTTTTCACTTGCCCAGCACTCACCTGGAGTGTATTTAAATAATTATTTAGTATTTTTTTTTTTATCTGGAAATTTAGTAACACACTAGCTGATATCGCGTTTACGTACCTGCAGCTTCAACTTTAATTTTCACTTTAAGCTTTGCGAGGTGGCGAAGTGGCAGCCGAAAGGTTGAATGGAGGTCGTTGCTTCAAACTGCCATTCAGCTATTCAGTCAACATGCCGGCAATTCATACACTGTACAATATTATTGAAGCTTCATGAAATATTGTGCAATATTTTTATTTGTCAAATACTAGTGGAGGGTTTTAAATTGTAGAACAGTTCTAGTAGAACTTCGTTTTAACTTAACTTTAACTTAATTTTGAAGCGAAAAAATATGACTGAAACATTTAAATTTTAAAACTATGAATGATTAAAAAAATATTTACGTACATATTTCTACTAGCAATGACCGCTAAAGTTACATTTATATCAAGTGTGTTGGAAAAATTGTAGTTATCTTAAACAAATCCAGAAATAGGATTAATATTTTTAATAATAATAATGTTTGAAGTGTATCAATTTGACAATTATGCAGCTAATAATTTATTGTGCTCATTCAATTTTGTTGGAAGTTCGAAGGAAATGTTGAATTTTGTTCCATTTCCGGTTTTTATCGAAAACATAAACAGGGTTGATTCGCCGTGAAGAGCTTCAAGAACTACACTGCAAAAAATTAGAAATTAGTACCATCGATCATAGATTAAAAATTTAATTTAGTATGGCCCGTAGTCATAGTCAAAATAAAGTCGACTTTAAAGTTAGTTGCAGCTTTTTGACATAATTTTCAATGGGATATCTGTAAAAAAAGCTGCAACTAACTTTAAAGTCGACTTTATTTTGACTATGACTACGGGCCAATGTGTTAGGGCCTGTGCCAATTGATAGAAAAGTTCTCTGGATAGTAAATTTTTGACAGCTATGAGGTGAATAAAAATGTTTGATACAGCAGGGCTAGTGAAAAATTTGACAGCAAGCATTATCAAGAAGAAGAACGAACAACGCACGTATACACATAAATTAAAGAAAACAAAAGCGAACATGGTCCCGCCGGCAAAAAAAAATAAAGAAAAGCTATATAACTTGTAAGATTTAATTTCAGATTTACATATGAAAAGGCGTTATGTATTTTTTTAATTAAAAATACTATTTTACAGGGTGCAGTTCAGAACGCAGAATCCTTCTGGAAAAGCGCATTGACAAGGATGTTTGGTTAAGTTCAAAGAACGCCAACAGCAATGAAGGCTGGAAGTGAGTAAGAACAATATAAATAATTTGAAGACTTTATTAAGAAGTTTTTTCTTAGAAAATTCGCGAATGAGCTGAAGGATCGCCTGGACGGTAAAAGTGCTGAAGCATGTAAAGCACAATGGAATGCGTTGATGAACCATCCGTGGCGCTTTTTGGGAATGTGAGTTACAATTTTTCGAAACGAAGCAGAGGACAACCTAAGATGCATTTTTGTAGTCTTGTTATCGCCGTTCATAATGCTGCTTAGTATTTTGGAATAAACGTCTTGTTGCATGTACATAAACGACATAAGTTTTTATTGGAAACAATTATACACGGTTTTAAACATTTTTGTGAACACACTTACCAAACGTTTTTGACGTGTTTTTTTCTAATATTACTGCTAAAAGGTCTAATAAATGCATCTGTCGCGTACGTTATTATGTTTTTTTTTTTAACTATCCAGAGATAATTTCTATTAAAAAATGGAAAGATTGCAAAGGTACATTATTTAGCTTAATTTAGGAATTTGTAAAGAAAAGAAAAATTCTCATGATTCGCAGACTTTCGCATATATGTACGTATGTGTGCCTTAAAACCACTTCCTTTTTTTCGCGTACGTTATCACTTTGTTTTGAACGGTTATTTTCCACACCAAAGTTTCGAGGCTGTTTATATCTTTCTCAAACATAGGACCCTTGGGTTGCAACATAACCGTAATCTTGTTTTTCAGTAACTCCTATATTTGAAAGATTTATGTTACTCCATAAGCGTACGAATGTCGCGTACGGCTGCATGGAAACACCCATATGTATGTTTGTATGTATTTACATGTTTTTCAATAAAGAGCTTCTGCTTGTTATTACCTGCTATACCACCAACGGTCAGGTAATTAATTGTCAAACTTCACTCGCAAAAATATTTTAAATGCTCCTGAATTTTGTAAATGTTTTTTTACCTTAGTTACACTAATTCACCACATGGTCGCGGTAAATTCCAAACTACAACCCTGCTTTTGCTTATTCCTTTTGACTACCCTTTATTTATTTGACACTTGTGCACTATTCTTGGCAGTGCATTGCAATATTTTTCACTTTTCACAGTCTACAAAAAGTGGAAGGATAGTGAATATTCCTAGATTTTCTATTTTGTCCGCGTGAATTTACATAAAAATGGATAACTTTGGCAGTGAAATTGGCCAAAAAATGAGAGTAAGTTAACAGATGCAATAGTTTTGAAATGTTCTAGTTATTAAAACACTTCAAGCGTGGCCATTGTTTTTTTGGCACGATTCTTATGTTGGTAAAGGGTAAACTGTCACGGATTTTTGCAATATGAGAAAATTATTGATTAAACATCTGTAAAAATGTGCTACGAATCAATTCTTTAATGCACTAATTATATTTTATACTTTTCAGAGTGCCGTGAAGGCCAAACTCGTAGAATTGGGCACTGGAGGCACGGCCGGCTACATAGACGATGAACTTCCAGACTATGTTATGATTATGGTGGCAAACAAGCGTTCCAAACAACAAATGGTGGCCGACCTTAACCTCTTCTTAGGCTCGCAAACTGATCTGTTCGTAACTTGGCTGCATGAGGTGCTTCAAAAGTTGCAAGAAGTCACACTGCCGGCAGTTAATGGTATGTAGTAGAATATTTGCAATATAGGTATATGTGGCTATATTAGGAAAAATCGCACGAACTTTCATTACTTATATGCAGCAACAAAAAAGCGCAAAGCCGAACCAAAACCAGACTTGGCCAGCAAAAAGGATCGTAAGACTAGCAAGAGAGATAGGAAGACGTCTACATCAAAAAAATCAGCCGATGAGTTGCAAAGTTCCTCCGTAAATACTACAGATAAATCAACAACCGCCACAAGCACAATAACATTACCACCCATCAATTCAATTACCGACGTGTTTGCTGATGTATTGCTGGAGAAAGCAAAGAAAACACTAAGCACAAATGCCGAGGCTGCCGCTCACATTAAAAAGGCCAAAGGTGGCTCCAAAGCTGAAAGTAATGAAACCGCGGCAAAAAGAGCTACAAATGAAAAATCCCTCTCGGAAGCAGATGCTGCAACCAGCAAGGAACAGCGATGCAATGGTGGTGGCGCGGATGCTGCTGGTGCAAATAATAAGAAAGGGATATCAAACGCGCCAGTTAGCAGTGGTAATCGGGAGAAAGATTTGGCTGAGTTGGCTGAAATACAAAAAAAAATATATGCAGCTAAAAAACATTTGCGCCAGCTAGGTGAATTGGAAGAGAACAGTGATTATGATGAAGACTTCATTAATTTAAAAGAAGATGGCATGGATGTGGATGAGGAAAGCACGAGCCCAAAAGAAGCTGAAAAGGTATTTATGATACATAAAGATTAAATGGACTGCTTTCTTAATCAATTTTGTTTGTAATTTATTAGGCTACAACTACACAAAATGAACCAAAAAGCAGTAAGAGAAGAAGTCCGATTATTTTCGATGCAGGAGACAGGAAAACGGAAGGCCCAAATCCTCCAGCAACAGAGCCAGCAGAAAGATCCTCAAATTTCACACCACCTCCTCCAGAAAAAAGCTCAACAATGATTAGTACTAGGGAACACCTAGTGCCCAGTAGTGGCGGACGTAGTCAACCACCACCAAAACAGTTAAGTCACGAAAGGGAACGTGATCGCGATCGTGAACATAGTCGAGAACATGATAAGTCATGGGATCGGGAGCGTGACCGCGATAAACGAGAAGGACCGGCTGAAGCGCCTAAACGACCAGTGCATGAACGATTGGGCTTACGTCCACCAGCAGCTCGCGAACCTCAACCTCCAGCTCGTCGTACACGGGAAGATAAGCAGTTGTTTGTGCCCTCATTCCGTAGGAAAGAGAATGAAAATGAGCGTGATAAAGAACGAGATCGAGAAAGGGAGCGAGATCGGGATCGAGATCATCTAAAAGAAAGGGAACGCGAACGTGAGAGAGAACGTGAAAGGTTAAGAGAGAGAGAAAGACAGCGAGAGCGGGACCGCGAACGGGAACGAGAACGAGAAAAAAATCGTATTGCAGCGCGACCGCGTGGCAGAAGTGAAGATAGGCGTAAAGATCGTGATTTGGAACGAGAACGTGATCGCCAACGTGATCGCGCCAGAGGCCGAAGCCGTGACCAAATTAATAGACGTAAAGAAAGTGAGACTAGAATGCGGCGCTCGTTATCGCCAATACTACGTCGCACCACATCTAATAGCGACAATCGCACACTGCCCAACATTACGGTGTCAGCTGTAGTAAAACCACACTATGCCAAGAAAAATATTGCCGAGCAAAATAATAATGGAGATGATGATGATGATGATGATGATGATGGATCCTCATCATCCTCTGAATCGTCAACGGATAGCGACGAAGAAGGTAGTGACGATGACGACGCGGCATCCTCACATTCGCCACAGACACACCGTCAGCGTATTGGGTCGCGTGTTATAGTGGCGCCAATTAAACAAGTCGAATCATCCGAGGAAGAAGAGAAACCTTTGAATTCTATAATAAAAATTAAGCCTCGTGCGCCAGTGTCACCCAGCAAGCAGGCTTGCAAAACGTTGCTACTGCGTGCCGTTGCCGAAGCGCAACGTTCCACTGTTATGAAGTCACGAAACAAGGAACCGAAGGTGGTACCAATTGTTAAGGGTAACATCGTGAAAGATCCTACTGATGAGCGTAAACTCTACACCAAAGCATATCGCGAGCGACTAAAACGGGGCGCCAAAGTCACCTCCACTTCGTCAACCACTTCAAATTTATTCAGGCGCGCAACACAAAATCTTGTAATCAAAGTGGAAAGCGATATGCC